ATTAATGAGAAGCTTGCATGCAGCACAGCAAAGCACCGACACAGAAGTATTATTAGAAATTCAGTTGAGCTCTACAAAACCCTCATGGGCTTTCTTATAAAAACAGAAATGATGCATTTCCTAAAAAAATCCCACTTTTTTTTTTCTTTTGCAAAAAATGGCCCATCTACCCAGAAAAGGAGACAAAGGTAAACTAATGGGAAAATTAACATTTTGTAACTGGTTATGTCTACTATTATAACCATTTTAAGAGAAAGTCCATAACATGGGCTTAAAATTGTCCAAAGGGCCCACTAAACTAAAACTCACCCACATAATGTGCAATAAATCAAGTGAATTCAGAGAGTTAGCTTATCAAACTGTTAGCTTGCAGAGAGGAGCAACCTGAAGCCTTTTTAAAGCAAAATCCATAGAATAGAATGGACCAAGCTAAAATGTAGCACATAAGATGCCTGGCACAGTTGCATCTACCCAACTGGTAGGCAATAGGGAAGTAAGACTGATGCATCCTTTTCGTTCTTATATTTTTAGAACTTAAAGCCTTATGTTTGTCCGCTGATCCTGTAGAATGGATAGGGACACCATTGGAAAATCTGAACAGTCAACCTAGGGACAGATTATCCTGGAGAAAATCTATCAATGGGTCAGTAAGAGTTGACATCACGAGGTGGCACCCAACAGTAGAATGGGGAAAGAAAAAGGCCACACTTGGAATATTGCATTCAGTTTTGGTTGCCACGATGTAAAAAAGATGTTGAGACTCTAGAAAGAGTGCAGAGAAGAGCAACAAAGATGATTAGGGGACCAAAGACTAAAATATAGGATTTTTTTTGTGTGTGTGCAGGATTTGGATATGTCTATTTTAATGAAAAGAAGGACTAGGGGTGACATGATAGCAGTCTTCCAATATTCCAGGGTCTGCCAAAAAGAAGACCTATTCTCCAAAGGACCTGAAAGCAGGACAAGGAGCAATCGATGGAAAGGAGAGAACCTTCCTAGAAATTAGAAGAAATTTCCTAACAGTGAATACAATTGACCAGTGGAATGGTTTGCCTTCGGAAGTTGTGGGTGCCCCATCACTGGAGGCTTTTAAGAAGAGACGGGACAGCCACTTGTCTGGAATGGTATATAGGGCCGTGATGGCAAATCTATGGGACGTGTGCTGCAGGTGGCGCGCATAGGCATCTCTGCCAGCACGCGAGCCCTCGCCCCAGCTGAGCTGTATATACATCCAACAGGAACAGGAAGTGCCTCACAGGAGCAGAGAGAGGTAAATCCTAGAGACGCAGGAAATGCATCACTGAACAATGGAGATGAATGCTAGAGAGGAACAAAGTTGTATACAAGGCTGACATAACACTTGTAACAGTGTAGGCATGCGGGGGGCGGGGGCGAGGGCGGGGGGGAGCGCAGGGTGTGTGTGGCGTGTCCCCTCGTATCCCTTTTTTGGTCCCAGGAGGCTTCAGAGAGGCCTGCTAGGCCCAAAATGGGGCATGGGTAGGGGGAGAGCTCATGCACATGTGTGGGTGTCGTGCTCGCATTGTATTATGGATATGGGCATTCATGTGTGCGCTGTTGTGCGCGCGCACACCAGTGGTGGGTTTCAAAATTTTTTACTACCGGTTCTGTGGGTGTGGCTTGGTAGGTGTGGTATGGCTTGGTGGGTGTGGCATGGCTTGGTGGGCGTGGCTTGGTGGGCGTGGCAGGGGAAGGATACTGTAAAATCTCCATTCCCTCCCCACTCCAGGGGAAGGATACTGTAAAATCTCCATTTCCTCCCGATCAGCTGGGACTTGGGAGACAGAGAATAGATGGGAGCAGGGCCAGTCAGAATTTTTACTACCGGTTCTCTGAACTACTCAAAATTTCTGCTGCTGGTTCTCCAGAACTGGTCAGAATCTGCTGAAACCCACCTCTGGTGCACACGCTTTCAGCACTCAAGGACAAAAAGATTAGCCATCAACCTATTCTCCAAGACACCGGAGGGCAGGACAAGAAAGAATGGATGGAAACTAATCAAGGAGAGAAGCAACCTGGAATTAAGGAGAAACTTCCTAACAATAAGAACAATTAACCAGTGGAACAGAAGTTGCCTGCAGAAGTTGTGGGTGCTACATTACTGGAGGCTTTTAAGGAGCGACTGGACAGCCACCTGTCTGAAATGGTTTAGGGTCTCCTGCTTGAGCAGGGGGTTGGACTAGATGACCTATAAGGTCCCTTCCAACTCTATTCAGATTCTTTTTAATTATATAATTTTTATTAATATTCTATACATTAATACACAAATAAAATATACAATCCTGCCACCATGGTATAATATGATTACATTGTCCATAAGTATAAAATCATTCCTTTATACATACATATTTGCCACCATATATATATACATCATCATATATCTATTCTATCCCACCTTTTCTGGACCCAATCGTACCATACTTTCCAACTGTTATAAAATTTTGAATCTTTTTTTACCACTGATCAATCTAGTTAATCTATCTGATTCCGCACACTCATTAATTTTATATATTATTTTCAAATCTATCGGTAAGTATTGATTTTTCCACTCCTGCGCATACGCTAATCTTGCTGCAGTGATAATGTGAATCAACAAGAACCGTATATCTGATTTAACATTCAAAGGTTTTGCCCCCAATAGGAAAATCTCAGGTCTTAATTCCAAATTAATCTGTGTAATTTCCAAAATCCATTGCCGGATTTTTTTCCAATATTTAACTGCCTGCGGGCAGGTCCACCATTGGTGAAAATAGGTTCCATTGCTGTAACTGCACTTCCAACAGCAGACAGATGTCCCGGGAAACATTTTAGCTAATCTCGCCGGGGGGAGATGCCACCGGTAGACCATTTTATATATGTTTTCTTTATATGAGGAGGCCATGGTTAATTTCATATTTTTCAACCAAATCTGTTCCCATTGCTGGAAGTCAAGGGGATATCCAAAATTTCACCCCCATGCTATCATACAATCCTTCACTACATCCTGTCCTATCTGCAGAGACAATAAATATGCATAACATTTAGATAATATCCCTTTCCCTCCTTCCAATAAGATCTTATCCAATTCTTGTCTTTTACGGTAGATTCCTTCACTATGTAAATCTTTTTTATACCTGGAGTGCACTTGAGAATATTCAGATTCTTGATTCATTCATAACTTTGGTTCTCCTGTCTGAACTGCCTCAAAAAGCTGACACTCACACTGCTGGCAACTGTTCAGCTTGTTGTCAGTGACCAAGTTCTTTATGAATATTGTATATGCGCCCTACATTTCTTCCTCCCTAAAATATCTCACGTCCTTCTTGAAGGACGCGTGGTTCCTTTCATCAAAGTCTTCCAACCTATCCAGATTAGACTTCACACTGCCATGAAAATATTAGCCAATTTTCTCCTTCTTTTAAAAAATAAAGAGGAAGACATTGCAAGCTGCTGACCCAAATCAGATAAAAATTACCTCCCCCCCACCAAAGACTAATTTTATAAGCATGGAGGGAACTAACCAAATAAGCTGTTAATAAATTGTGCTCCAAAGTTTGCTGGCGTCACCGTGTCTTCTAGAGAGAAACAAGAAATCCCAGTGATTTAATATACCGGGCATTAAGATACAAATTTGGCTTGGTCTCATGAGGAATTCATTTTCTGAATTCTGGGTTACCTTGGCTTTGTCTTTGTTTTCCAAATTCCATGACTGTGGCTACGTATTGGAGGTAAATTCCCAGTGACAGCTGGCAGAGTAAAGGCAGATTCAGACAATCAAAGACTTTGGTAGCATCGCTTAATTAACTAATGGGCTTCATAGAGACATAATGGAATTTGAAAAGAAAAAGCTTTTAAGCAAGATTCAAAGCCAGCAGCATCTGTAATAGTAAAACTCCTACAACCCCCCTTCTTCCTTCTGAGATTCACAAGTCAGTGCTGGAAAATCCAATACTCTTAGGTTGTTTGTATGCAATGTTGGTGCTCCACCTAGTGCTTCTGAGCTGCAGCTGTATCTGATATCAGCCTAAAAATATTACCATTTTTTAAAAAAGAAAAAATGCCGCTCTTCTTCACAGAACTGAAGAAGCTTTTAGAATGAGAAGAGAAACATCTTCAAGGAAAAACAAAGAAAGCCCAGTTTGCCTCTTGAAAAGCACCTTTGGGACATCACCAGGCCACCAAAAATCTAAATACCACCACCACCAATTAAGTTAGTAAAGTTTGTAATTCAAAAAAACATGCTATACAATATCAAAGGTAAGTAAATAGATATGAACAGAGAAGATGTTCTTGTTTTGATAACTTCATTATCTAAGCCCAAACCAGTTGAGATAAAAGGCACAGTTGGTTTCTTTACATTTTTTTTTAGATTAACAAGCAAGATTGGAAAAAAGTATCTTCATCATCCTTATTTAATTGATGGAGAGTGGAAATGCCCAGGTAAAAGCTGGTAATTGGTATATCTTCTCAGCTGATCTCACAATCCAAAGAAGAAGGGGTCAACCTATTGTCCAAAGAACCCAAAATCAGGACAAGAAGCAATGGATTGAAACTCATGAAGGGAAGATCCAACCTAAAAATAAGGAGAAATTAATTTAATCGGTGGAACGACTTGCCTCCAGAAGCTGTGGCTGCTCCAACACTGGGAGCTTTTAAGAACAGATTGGACAACCATTTGTCTGAAATGGTATAGAGTTTCCTGCCTGAGTAGGGGGTTGGACTAGAAGACCTCCACAGTCCCTTCCAACTCTGTTATTCTTTATGTTTTAGTATAATTCTGTTAGTTGAAAATTCCTGCAAGTTAAATAAACTATGGCCCTAAACTCATTACATACTAATTTCTGTCTTCCTTCTAGTCTAGGTCTCCATGGATCAGTGGGGGCAAACATCTTGTCTATGAATTGTAGAAATTAAGAGATCCTACTGATATCAAGGCAGCTTAATAGAACGTTGGAGTCATTCTTCTCAACTATGAGATCACTGTTGAAACAACTGAGGAACTTCTAGATTTTTCTGTGTGGAGTTGGAGCAGCAAACAGGTGCCATGCTGCCTTTTGCCCCACCTAAGAAAACTCCCAAACTTGACTTGAATCCCCGTGCGGATGCCATTCGCTCTAAGCTGATCTATACATTTTACCTGATTGATCACTTTGAGGGGCTGAGCCATGCGGTGCCACGGTATAACATACAAGATTTTCTGGATTCCAAGAAGCGAAAGAAACTGATGCTCATGGATCACCACCAATTGGTTCGCTTCCATGTCGTGCCCACCCGGAACATCATGGTGACTCAAGAGAAACGCTGGCGCAACTGTATCGAGGTGCGTTGCAGCCGTTGGCCCCCTTTTAAGATGTGGGTGTCTTCAGTTCTGAACAGCCAAACATTCAAAGGCTTTATCATCTTTCTTATCTTCTTGAACATGGTAGTCCTCATGATCTCAACGGAGATCATGGGGAAGAGGGGAATCACCTATGTGAAAATTACCAGGGTCCTGGAGGTGATCATTTGGATCATTTTACAGATCTTTGTGACGGAGATTGGGTTGCATTGGTTTGTGAGCTTTCAGAGATACTGGAAAAATCCCTGGAATATCTTTGATTTCATAGTGACCATCATCTCCATTATACCAGAAGTCATATATCCATTTAAGAAGTACCAGAGTGTGACAACTCACCGACTTCTGCTGTTAAGCCGTGTACTGCGTTGCCTAAAGCTCTTTCCTAGAGTCCGACAAGTCCGAGTTCTCATCATGGCTATTGCCAAAGCCCTGAAAGCGATGGCCTTAATTTTGGTTCTCCTTGCCTTCCTCTTCTACGTCTTTGCTTTGTCGGGCATCTACTTTTTTGAGAGTTACACCCAATCAAGCAGGATGGACCTGACTTACAATATGTATTTCATGGACATGCCCAATGCTCTAGTAACCATCTTCATTCTTTTCACCATGGACCACTGGTACGCTCTGTTACAAGATTCATGGAAAGTCCCAGAGATAAACAAGGTGATCAGTGGTATATTTATCTGCCTATGGCTTCTGATTGGGGCGTTTATTTTTAGGAATCTCTTTGTTGCCATTATGGTCACCAATTTCCAGAACATCCGAAGTGACCTAAGTGAAGAGGTGAGACAGATAGAGACTCAGACACAAGCTGACAAATTCAAAATGGAGATCATGGAAAAGAGATTCAGCCAGATTCGATCTATGGACAAAGACATTACATTCAGAGAAAGGTTCACCATGGACCCCGCATTAATTCAAACTGCAGACAATCCAGATTTCAGCTACGATGAAATGTCTCCTGGAATTTTGGACTGGGAGACTTACATCCACAAGAACCTACCAGGACTGTATGCTGCTGATGAAGACGAACAGGTGCTTTGGCCACGTGACTCCCTCTTCCGCTACTTTGAGTTGTTGGAGAAGTTGCAGCATAACTTAGAGGAACGTAAGGAACTTCAGCAATACATGGTGCTGGCTCTTTCCAACCTTGAGGACAAGTAGCACGGACCATGCATACATCCATAAGAACCTACCAGGACTCTATGCTGTCGATGAAGATGAACAGGTACTTTGACCACGTGATTCCCTCTTCTGCTACTTTGAGTTGTTGGAGAAGTTGCAGCATAACTTAGAGGAACGCAAGGAATTTCAGCAATACATGATGCTGGATCTTTCCAACCTTGAGGACAAGTAGCACGGACCATGCAAGCTTTGGGAGAGAAAAGCCAAAGCAAATGAAACTCGTGGCTTTGTACCAGCCTCTCCCCCTCCCTCCTCCATCCAAAGGTCTCTAGATAAGACACAAGAATACTATTAAAATATATTGTATACCACCATTTTAGCCATTGTTTATCCATTGCAGAATGAGGGCCTCTTCCGCAGGTTTCCAACCAATATGGTCCTGTACTTTTTTTTTTTTTTTGCCAATTGGGCCCATAATACTTGCTGATGCCATCAATCCATCTTGTTTTAGGTCTCTTTCGTGGACACTTTTTATCAAGTGGGATCCATTCTGTGACTGCTTTGCTCCACCTGCCATCAGTTCTTCTTGCTATGTGACCAGCCTATTTCCATTGCAATTCTTTTATTCTCTTGGTGATATAGTATACTTTTGTTTGATGAGAGCTAAAACGCTTGAAATAGATCTATACTAGTCTCCCTTTATTGCTTTATCAGTAAAAGATAAATTCAACACAAAAATTGTTGCAAAAGCGACTGCCTGTGAAGGTTCCTGGACCAGGTTGCCCTGATAAAAACCACTTAATCTTTCCCCTGGTATAGCCAACAAAGTGAGGAGAGCCTATGGCTTAAAGGTTAATACATCTAATATATAAGTAGCCCAGGTTCGAATCCCAGAAGGGTATGGCTAGCTGATGAGAGCTAAATAGCTTGAAATAGTTCTATGCTAGTCTCCCTTTATTTCTTTGTCGGTAGAACATAAATTCAGCATAAAAATATCTTGTCTTGCAATGCCAAGCATGTATCTTTCCATGGCTTTTTGCGCCACTCATAGCTTTTCTATCGATTGTGAGATTAATGTCCATGTTTCGCTGGCATATGTCAGAGCAAGTAGCACACATCGATAGAAAACTTTTCTCTTCAGACACAAGAAGAGAAAATTATGTTCTTGAAAATTATGCTTAGCTTGCCAAATGCCTGCCAACCCCATTTAACACGCCGTTCAATTTCCTTTATTGTCTCACCTTCCATTGAGATCTGTTGGCCAAAGTATATGAAGTGCTCTACTACGTCTAGTATATATATTGTACATATAATTGTGGAAAACTCATGTTTATTCAAGGGTTCCAAATTTTGTTTACATAAAACTGAGTTCTAAGCATCACTCTCCAGATGTGGGGCAGATAAAATTGATATGACAATTTAAAACACCCATCTTTGTTTTGGGATACAAGCTTTGCTGGCATTAAAGGGCACCAAGACACATACATATTTCGACGTTCACATTTTTATCCTCTAGGAAAGAGATTCCCCCCCCCCACCAATTTCATACTGAGGGAGAGCCAGCTGCAATATCGAAAGAATTGCAACAATTCTCTGTTCAACCAGTGGTGAAATCCAATTCTTTTTTACTACCGGTTCTGTGGGCGTGGCTTGGTGGGTGTGGCAGGGGAAGGATACTGCAAAAACTCCATTCCCACCCCACTCTGGGACCAGCCAGAGGTGGTATTTGCCAGTTCTCCGAACTACTCAAAATTTCCGCTACCGGTTCTCCAGAACCTGTCAGAACCTGCTGGATTTCACCCCTGACTTCAACTCCCATAATTCCTAAGCCAGCCACTGTGTCCCCAACCCATCCAGATACATGTGATATCCCTGTGCACTATTTCTGACTTGCACACCACGTGCCTGTGTGCTCTTCCCAGCTCGCATGGCAACTCTTACACACCCTTGCTCAATCTTCCTGACCTGTGCTACACTGTGCTCTCTGACCTGCTTGGCACCTCTTGCACACTCCCATGCACTCCCACTCGCCCCATGCACCCTTCCTGACCCACACGCTTTCATGTACCCAGGCATACCTACAAGAAGTGATACATGGGTCAGGAAGAGTGTGCAAGGGCGCAAATGAATGTGCACGTGAGTGCCACGTGAGTTGGGGAGGGTGCACTGTGGTGTACAAGAGGTGCTTGATGAGTTCTTGCACAAGTTGTGGTGTGAGTTGAAGAGAGTCTGAAGGGGATGTGAGCTGTAACATTACAGTGTGTAGGAGGTGTGGGGAGGGCTGGAGAAGGTTTGTGAGCGGTGGTGGGATTCAAATAATTTAACAACCGGTTCTCTGCCCTAATGACTGGCTGCGTGGGTGTGGCAGGTTCTGACAGGTTCTGGAGAACCGGTAGCGGAAATTTTGAGTAGTTCGGAGAACGGGCAAGTACCACCTCTGGCTGGCCCCAGAATGGGATGGGAATGGAGATTTTGCAATATCCTTCCCCTAGAGTGGGGTGGGAATGGGGATTTTGCAGTATCCTTCTCCTGCCACACCCACCAAGCCACACCCACCAAGCCACACCATGCCCACCAAGTTACGCCCACAGAGCCGGTAGTAAAAAAATTTGGATTTCATCACTGCCACACATCTTAAAGTTGCTGAAGTTGAGATACATTGAACTAAATAGTTCAATGTATTAAAAGCCTTGGTAGTACAGTGGTCTAAGGCACCCTGTTATTAAGCTGGTTATTAAGACCAGCTGCCTGCAATTACTGCAGTTTCGAATCTCGCCAAGGCTCAAGGTTGACTCAGCCTTCCATCCTTTCTAAGGTAGGTAAATTGAGGACCCAGTTTGTGGGGGCAATAAGCTGACTTTGTATACATATACAAAAGGATGAAGGCTATTGCTTAATGCATTGTAAGCCGCCCTGAGTCTCCGGAGAAGGGCAGCATATAAATCCAAAAAAAAAAAAAAAAAAAGGCTATCTCCTACACTCATTTAAATAATCCTGCCACTTTACAAATTTTGCACTGGGATTCTTTGTTTAATTGGCTCCTTTGTTCAAATAAGCGTAGACTGAATGGCATAGAGAAGGGTTTATTATGCAACTTCTCCAACCAGCCTTCCATAATTGCCTTGGTAATATTAACTTGCCCTCATTTTCTTGCACTTTGATTTAAAATTGCATGCTATGTGCCATTAGCCGTTTCCTTAAGGGCTGCCCTTCGAAAAGGAAGGGCTTGTTATGGAAAGTATCCCTGTTGCCTTGGTTACTAATTACATAGATTTTTAATCACATGTAAACCCTGGATTTAAAAATAGCTTTGATGTGAGAAAATGTACTAAGGCAAGAGAAAAGTGTTTATGGATGGTCATGATATTGATAGTATTCTCTTGGTAGTCCGGACCTTTTAGGCGTGGTGTTGATTTTTGAACATTATCAAAACTATTTACCAACCAAGGGGGGGAAAAATGACTTATTCCTAAGAGGCAGAAAGAAACACACTTCTTCCATCCTTGAAAGTATCTGCAAAAACTGCACAAATTTCACGGGCTAAAATTAACTTTTCAGACTTGCAGAGTATATATGGAATGAAAAGAAAATCATCCTGTCCCATTACAACGGTTATTACAAACCTCGCACATCATCTACCATGTAGATTTAAATTTATATGTGTTTACTACAATTGGTAGTAGACCACGACTGTTCTGCCCCAGCTACGGACCCCAAAGAACGCAGCACACACAAAGTCTGTACAAACCTTAGTTTACTAAATTAAATCAGTCTTTTTCAAACAAAGGCTGTTAAGTTATTAACAACAACCAAATGTGTTGGTTATTACCTTTAAAGCCCTACATGGCTCCGGGCCAGAGTATCTTCGAGACCGCCTTCTACCGCATAACTCCCAACAACCAGTAAGATCCCACAGAATTGGTCTCCTCCAGGTCCCGTCAGCTAAACAATGCTGGCTGGAGGGCCCACGGGGGAGGGCCTTCTCTGTGGCTGCCCCGGCTCTCTGGAACCAATTACCTCCTGAGGTCTGGACCATCCCCACCCTATTGACCTTCTGAAAAGCAGTGAAGACCTGGTTTTTCCGGCAGGCCTGGGGCCGTTGATCTCACTCTTGTGATCCGGCGAGATCTGGCCATGAATGTTGTGAATGAGTTTTAATGTTTTTAATGTTTTTAATTTTTCAATGTTTTTTATAATGATTTTAAATGGATTGTGAGCCACCCTGAGTCTTTGGAGAGGGGCGGCATACAAATTGAACAAACAAACAAACAAACAAACAAATTAATTAATTAATTAATTAATTAACTTTCTTAACAGCCTACAAGAATCCAAAGAATAAATAATCGTAATCTTACTATGGTTGGCAGAAAGCCCAGAAGCAATTTGCAGGAAACTGATAAGAGAACTAAGATCCAGACGCAAAGAAGAGTGAATGAAGTTGTTCCTGCAAATTGCCTCAGTCGTGGTCCTTCCTTAAATAAGCTAAGGGAGTGGTCAATTAGCCCCAAGCCTTACTCTTGAGGAGACCTCCTCCTGAGGAGCCACTCCTGCCTTTTGGCAGCTCTGCGTGCCCGTGCATCAAGAAGAGGCTCCTCCTCTTCTTCCTCTTCACCCATGGAAGCTTCTGGAGGTTCTGAAGACCCTGGCTGAATCCCCACCTCTGGAATCACATCTTCTCCAGCCTCCTCATTGTCTGACTCAAGTGCCAGCTACACAGGCTGTTGGCGCAGCACCACACCAGCCTCCTCGCTGTCGGAATCAGCTACTAGCTGCACAGGCCACTGACAGGCCACAACAACTATGGTAAACAACTGGGGCCTTAAAATAAAGCATAGATTCCCCCCCCCATGTACCTTCCCCAATAAGGAAATTTTTGCAGGATCCAATCTGAGTCGGTCACCTGGACCAAAGGTTTATTCTTCCAAGCTTTTGGGATCCTGCTGGAACCCATTCTCAGGGAACTTCACTCTCTCTCTCCAGAATATGTGTACTGGACTGTTCTATACATTGTATTTACATCAAAAACATCATCAAAAAAGCACAAGACAGAATGTTCTTTCTGCGCCAACTCAGAAAACTCAAACTGCCCAAGGAGCTGCTGATTCAGTTCTACAGAGGAATTATTGAGTCTGTCATCTGCACCTCCATAACTGTCTGGTTTGGCTCTGCAACCCTACAAGACAGACACAGACTTCAGAGGAGAATTAGAACTGCAGAAAAAACAAATGGCTACCAACCTGCCTTCCATTGAAGACCTGTATACTGCACGAGTCAAAAAACTTGCAAACTTCCAGCGATGGAGTACTCACAATTTTCGGAGTTAAGCTGTTCCGCTGATTAATTGTTCTCACTGTCAGGAAATGTCTTCTGA